TTCTATATGCATTTTTTATATTTGAAGCCCCCCCATATATAGGGAAATAGTCTGATTTAAAAAAACAGTATGTCGAATGAAAGATGTATATAAATACTACTTCTCATGAAAAAATTGTATTGATCCATACACTTTTCAATAAGTTATAGCATAATAAAGTTAAAAATGTAAAATACAAAATCGAAAATTTTCACACAAAAATAGCATTCGGTAGCCATTTTCACCGTGAAGATAAGATAAAGTCCGAAATTTTTTTTTTTCATGATAAAGCATATTACATTTGCTTTAATTTAAGATATATATAAAAGTGTCAGACCTTCCGGAACATTTTCAAAAGTTAAGTTGAAAAAGTTAATTTTTTGTGAAAAAGTTGTCATTTTAAATCCCCCCCTGTGGGCAGGTTAAGTGTCAGATTTACAAAAAAAATATACCAAATGATAGGTAAAGACATCAAGCATCTATATAAAAAAAAATTATATTGATATGTTCATTTTTGAAAAAGTTACGGCAGTTTTTAGTAAAAAAAATTGAAAAAATTTCGAAAATTAGCGATTTTTAAATTTGTAATTTTTTTGGAGGTTTCCCTCATTTACGGGGAACGAGGGAAATTTTTTCAATTTTGAAGGGTAATGTCTTCGACTAGATACAATTTGTGATCTTTTGACGTATCGTTGAAAGAAATCGGTTCGGTGAGAGCTGAAAAAGAGGGGTAACAGACACAAAAAAAAAAAAACATCATAGTAAAACCCAATACCTTCTCAGCTTCCCATCGAAGCTAAAAAAAACATAGTAAAACCAAGAATTGAAGCTAAAAATAAAGAGTCAATTTATTGTAATTAATAAATATAACTTAATTAGATAGTATTATTTGAATCTTGACTATTGTCTCTAGACATATTTAGGCGGAAATTGATGGAAAAAATCACATCATCATAGTAAAATCAATACCTTCTCAGCTTCTCATCGAAGCTATAAAAATTTCTTTTTAAAAAAGTTTGGTGAGTATAGTATAATAATTGTAAAAGATTATATAAAACGTTCAATATTTGATAATTTTATATGGTTATACTTTGAGGAAAGATCAAAAGGAGAGAAAACAAACACTATGGGAGTCAAAAACATTTTTACTTTGATAAAACTTTTAGGATAAGTTAGGGGTATATAGGTGTTTAGTAAGTAACAAAACCATTTTCTATTGATCTCATTATTTGTTATAATGAAACTGTTTACTTATTTATTGAACACTATAATTATATATTATGATTGATAAGTATTTTGGAAGTTATCAACGCTTTACTATAATAACTTGATGCGAGACGCAAGTTTGCTTATTCTTATTTCTAGGCATTTATAAACCGCGCTACTTCTCCCATCCTAATATAAAAGTGCTAATATTTTTCAAATACTGATCATAAATTATTAACAACCAGTCATTTACTTAGTTAAATTATTATTTTTTTGAATCTAATTAAATATATAATACATAAACATATTATGTTTCTATTTAAAAAAAACGGTAGCACAGTGGGGTCGAGGCACAGTGGGACGAGGCATAGATGGGACAAGTATAGATGATATCTGACAGTGATTAAAATCACTATCATAAGAAACGCTTCGATGCAAATCTGTAGATAGTGTTTCCTTTAGAGAAATTGGTGAAATATTTTAAAAGCAACATGAACTCTTATTTCTTTAATTATATCCTGATTAGTAGTTCTTTGATTTTAAAATATAATATATGAATAAATACTAATTATAGTTTTTAAATTTAGTATGAAATTGTGAGGCCAGCTATGATGTATGGTTAATAGTGTTGGGCGGTTGATAAGAAAGTAGAGCAGAGAATAAGTGTAGCAGAGATGAGAATGCTTAGTTGGATGAGTGGAGTGACTAGAGAAGATAGGATAAGGAACGAGCATATAAGAGGAAGTATAGGTGTTGCGTCAATCGTGGATAAGATGACAGAAAATAGACTTAGATTGTTTAGTCATGGTATGAGGAAAGAAGAATCGAAAGCTGTAAGAACAGTTATAGAAATGAATGTTGAAGGAAGAAGAGATAGAGGAAGACCAAAAAAGAGATGGAGGGATGCTATTGAATGCGATTTGAGGACAGCTGATGTGAGCGTAGAAGATGTGGGAGATCGTGTCAAGTGGAATCTTAGGATAAGGGTGCCCGACCCCAAGTAGTTGGGATTAAGGCAAAGAAAAAGAAAAATATTACCAGATATTCCGGTGGCAATTGACATAATATGATTGTTATTTCGGAATGTACAATTTAGCGTTTAGTTGGGTTTAAATAATATAGCGTCAAATCAATTACCTACTCTATCGGTTGTATCTCAATATACACTACACTTTAATGATACAATAAATAAATAAACTCACACATACACACATATGCATTTATAACATTGTGTCTAATGTAAGTATAACATGATAAAAAGTAACCGTAAAATGAAAAAAATGGAATATAAATTTTATTACTCATATTAAATGTAATGTAACTCGAAAAATATTTGTTTAAATGAAAAAATATAAGATTATATTTTTATTTATAATTGTCTTTTAAACAACTTTTGTGCGAAACTTTTTTTTGTAAGTTAAATATTTTTTTTTGAGAAAATTAAGAAAGCTCATATTTTTGAACTTTTGCGAGGATTTAAAAAAAAAGCTCAATTCCAATCTTGAGGACTATTAGTATGTCATTATACATATTTTAATTCAACTTTTAAAAAAACAAAATTTTTTCCGCAATTTTTCCTTTGTTGACTGGCCTAGATGTCAATTTTAAACTTGTAATTGAGCTAAAAGTTATGGTAATATATTCAATTTATTTTACTATAAACTTTCATAAATCTTTATCAAAAATTTTTCATCAACTTTAAAGAACCAAAAAAATAGGTTAAAATTGAAAATTTGGACTGATTATTTTTAACATATTAAAAATCAAATCAGTAATAATTTGAAAACAAATTTTTTTTTCTTTTAATTATTATTTTATATATATAATTAGTAATAATATAAAAAATTAGAAGTGATAGAAATAGTCTACTTGCAGATTTGAAAACAACGCGAAAAGTTGATTTAGAAAAGTATATTTTTGCTTCTGATGAAAGTTCCTTGTAGTCCAGTGCATTTTTTTATAGTAACAAACAGTTTTTATTGAAAATTATTGTATCAAGCCCTTTAAATTTTTATACACGTAAAAGTAAAGCAAAATATAACTTCTTTATTATTTTTATAATTTCTCCGTTTAAATTACAATATTAAATATCAATTTCATACTAAATTTAATAATTATAATTAGTATATATTCAAATATTATATTTTAAAATCAAAGAACTACTAATCATGATATAATTAAAGAAATAAGAGTTGATGTTGCTTTTGGAATAATCCACCAATTGCCTAATTAAAACAAAAAAAAAAAAAGTTTGTTGGGAATTTTTTCTGCTATTCTGCAAAATTACTCCTTCGTTGACTAGAATGAATCATTAAATAGAAAATTTTATGAGAATTAAAACAATGTTATTTTTAAGATTAATATGCAGTCAGAAAGTTTTATAATTATTATTTATTGTAAATTTATCAGAAAAACTCATTATTTTTTGCATTTTTATCGTAATAGAACACTTAAATAGAAATCATAGTAATCATTTCTAAGTAATTTTTGATATTTAAAAAGATTCTACTATTGAAATATCCAGAACTGAATTAATTTTAATGATTTACTTTAACTAAAAAAAAAAAAGTTAATATTTTGAATCCCTCTTGTGGGCAGGTAAAGGGTTAGATTTATAAAAAAAACCAAATGATAGATAAAGACATGCATCTAAATAAAAAAAAATATACTGATTTGGTCATTTTTGATAAAGTTATAACAATTAACAAAGTTATAAGTTTTATACACTGGACTACAAGGAACTTCCATCAGAAACAAAAATATACTATTCTAAATCAACTTTTCGCGATGTTTTAAAATGTGCAATTAGACTTTTTCTATAACTTCTAAGTTTTAATATTATTAAAAAATAGTTTTTACATATAAAAAAAAATAATTAAGAACAAAAAAAATTGTTTTAAATTAATACTGATTTGATATAATATTTAATATTAATTTGATTATTAATAAGTTAAAAATAAGGAAAATGACATATTTAACCAATTTTGTTAATCGTTTAAAGTTGATTGTTGTAAATGTTTATAAAAAAAAAAAAAAATTTATTTTACCATAACTTTTAGCTCAATTGGTAAGTTTGACATTGACATAATTAAATAGAAAATTTTATGACAATTAAAAAAATTGTATCGTTAAGATCAATATGCAGTCAGAAAGTTTTATAATTACTATTTATTGTAAATTTATCAGAAAAGCTCAATATTTTTTTGCATTTTTATGGTAATAGATAACTTAAATAGAAGTAATAGTAATAATTTCCTAGGAACTTTTGTTGTTTGTTGAAAAGATTCTATAATTGAAATATTGAGAACTTAATTAATTTTAATGATTTACTTTAACTAAATGTACCAATCAAAACAAAGTTGTTAAAAAGATTTACTCAATTGAGTTTATTATAAAATTTGATTATATTTGTAAAAATCAATTGTTAATTCAGGAGAAAAAACAATCATTTTTTTTAGAAATGATTTATATAGCAACACGTTAGAAAAAAATTTGAATATTATAGTCTAATAGTAGCACACACAAACAGAGTAATAAAATTATTAAATTACAAAGTAAAATGATTTAATTTTGTAGTTGAAACCTATCATATCAAACTTCATTCGTTAATAAATATTTTGAAAACATTAGAAATTAATGATTTTAATTGTCTTTATGGAGACGATGTAATAACTAACTGTTTAATTGATAAATTAGAATTTTTTTTTCAATTTTTGAGAGTAATATCTTCAACTAGATACGAATTGTAGTAATTTGACGTATTGTTGAAAAAAGTAGGTCAAGTTAGAGCAGAGAAAATAAATGATAGTCACAAAAAAATATCTTCTCGGCTTTGCATCGAAGCGAAAACTTAAAATATAGTAAAATAATTTTAATACGAATAAGAAATTTCTTCTTGCAAGGGGCGACTAAAGTGATGGGATCCTTGATCTTTATTGAAGTTATTGAATCTAAATGTGATAAAAATCAAACGAGTTAAAATTTATACTAACTTAAAAAGAATTAAGAAAAAATGCAAAAAATTCATTGCCATATGCGGGTTGGAACCTCGTACCCCAAGCGTGTAAAACATAAATTTTACCAACTCGGCAACCGTACGTTGCTTCCGGCGGTTGAAAAATTGGCTATTTAAGCTAGTTCAAATTTCAAAGTTATTTTTCTCGACTTAAAAGAAACAAACATATTTAAATAAGTTTAACTATCTATACTATATCAATTTTAATTTATATAATATTTATGAAAATCTGTACTCCCCTTGTCAGGTATTTTAAAATAAAATAAAATACAAAACCCAGAATTTTAACACAAAAATAGCATATTTTTGCATACGGTAGTCATTTTTACCATGAAGACAAATCCAGAGGTCAAATTTTTTTTTTTCACATTAAAGTATATTACATAAGCTTTAATTTAAGATATATTTAAAAGTGTCAGTATTTCCGGAATACTTTCAAAAATTAAATTGAAAATATCGTAGTAACAATACGCATGTTTAAAGTTTTGACCCCCCTTGTTAAAGGGGTATGATCCGATTTACAAAAAAAGCGTGCCAGATGAAAGGGGTATATAAATATTTATTATAAAAAAATAATAATATTGATCCATACATTTTTCCAAAAGTTATATAAAATATAAATTAAATAATATAACATATAAAATCGAGATTTTTTTCACGGAAATCGTACGTTTTTCTTTAACTTTGATGTCCGTTTTCACCACGAAGACAAGTCCAGAGGTCAAATTTTTTTTTTTCAAATTAAAGTATATTACATAAGCTTTAATTTAAGATATATATAAAAGTGTCAGTCTTTCCGGAACATTTTCAAAAGTTAAGTTGAAAAAGTTCTACTTTCTATACGCATTTTAAAAGGTTTGCACCCCCCCTGTATAAAGGGAAATGGTCCGATTTTAAAAAAAAGTATGTCGAATGAAAGAAGTATATATAAAGTATTTATCATTAAAGAATAAAGTTGATTCATGCATTTTTTAAAAAGTTATAGCAACATAATGTTAAAAAATGTAAAATATAATATCAAGAATTTTTTCACAAAAATAGCATATTTTTGCATACGGTAGTCATTTTCACCATGAAGACAAGTCCAGAGGTCAAATTTTTTTTTTTCAAATTAAAGTATATTACATTAGCTTTAATTTAAGGTATATATAAAAGTGTCAGTCTTTCCGGAACATTTTCAAAAGTTAAGTTGAAAAAGTTAATTTTTTGTAAAAAAGCTACCATTTTGAAACCCTTCCTGTGGGCTGTTAAAGGGTCAAATGTTCACAAAAATATATAAAATGATAGGTAAATATTTAAGGTATCTATAAAAAAAAAAATTATATTGATTCGGTCATTTTTAAAAAAGTTATGGCAATTTTAAGTAAAAAAAATTGAAAAAATATCGAAAATTAGCGATTTTTAAATTTGTAATTTTTTGGGGGATTTCCCCCGTTTACGGGGAACGAGGGAATTTTTTTCAATTTTTGAGGGTAATGTCTTCGACTAGATACGATTTGTGATCTTTTGACATATTGTTCATCAAAATCGGTCCAGCGAGAGCTGAGATTGAGCGTTCACAGACACAAAAAAATAAAAAAATAAAAAAACACATCATAGTAAAATTAATACCTTCTCAGCTTCGCATCGAAGCTAAAATTAAGTTGATACTATTTTAAAGAGAAAACCAAATACTTTTTAAAAATTATAAAACATAGGATACTTTGAAAGCTTAAAAGAAAAAATTATAATGTGTTACACTCTTAAAAAAATTATGTGAGATATAGTTCAATTAATCACCTTGTACCATCTTAATGTTACCGTCAACTTTCAATTTTTTATTATACTTAACTTTATAATTATCACTATGTAACTAATTTTCTTTCGACATCTCTCTTAGTAGAAGGGCAACATCGCCTTGAAAGTTCTTGTCATTTTTATGTGTTTGTCCTTCAAAATATTTTTTCTGCTAACCAATTAGTTGAAAGCACTAAGTCGTAAGCAAAAATTAGTGAAGAGGTAGGAGAAAATATCGCATCTAAACAATAACAAGTTTTTTAGCAACATGCCATGCATTATATAGCATGTCACAACATTTTCAAAGCTCCAAAATACGGTATTGCAGTTTTAAATAAAATCAGGTCTATTAATAAAAACGTTGCGAGCAGTTTCATGAAATAGTTAATGATATTAAAACCAAATTTTTTAATTCATTTTTTTAGTAAACTACAAATTAATCACAAAGTAAACATTGAAGATTAAAATAAAATTTTGATATACTGGCCCTATTCCTTGCTGCAATGGGCATTTATTGCAAATTTTTCATTCTTGCCTTTATGGGAAATTTATTAAAATCAGTAAATAGAAAAATAAAAATCTCCTATTCACTAATAAAAAAACTTGTTGAAAAAAGAAATAGATGTTAGTGGACGCATAAAAGTTTAGCCACAATATAGGAATAATAGTTTACCATTAAGTATAATTATTGTAGCGAACTAGAAATTCAGAAGTGAACATCGAAAATTTCACCAAATTTTCTTTAGATAGTGAATATAAATATTTTTTATTAAAAACCCATTTTATATCGTTTTTCTGAGTGGATAAAATCGGAAAAAACCCAGTGGGTTTTTTGAGGTTGGTCTATTTCTCAACAATTCAGAATGAAGACTTTTTTGTTTGCATATCCCATAAAAAGTATAGAATTTTCAAATGATTTTCAAGTATAGGATTTTAAAATATGTCCGGTTCACTCTTGACGACACTACAGAGAATAGCTACATTCAGCTGACTGCTGAAATAAGTGTGATTTATATTTACCTGAACTTATCACTCATATAGTTTAAGTGACAAACTTATATAATAGTCTAGAAATTAACTTTAAGAAATATTATGTCTAATGATATATCTATGATTCAATGATATACCTATTTAATCTTGGAAAGGGTATTTAAAAAAAAATTTTTTTACCCTTTCCACTTTATATCAGAGGCGTCATTTGAAGAACAGCTGACAAAAATGATGTATTTTTCTTAAAAAAACTATTCAGATTAATAATGTTTGTAATTAACATAAATTAAAGATTTTTTTATTCATTAAAGTTTTGTGATAAGTACTTAGTTGATAAATATATCAACAACAATTGTTCCAAGCCCTATCAAATTTGGTGTATTATTGTGTACAAAATAGATAAGAATAGACTTAAAACTTTCATTGTACTTTTTATTGTATGAATAATAATTAAAAATGTATCTTTTGAGTTTTATTTAAAATATTCATTTTTCTTTTTGTTTAACTAACCTTAATATTGTTTTTACGTAATTTAATATGCCTTTAATACTGATGGTTGGACTACCTTCTAGTGGTAAAACAACTAGAGCATACGAAATTAAAAATTTTTTTCTGAATACTTTAAAAAAAAATGTTTTCCTTATATCAGATAATGAAATAATCGCACAAATGGGTATGGACAAGAATGTTTTATTCTTAGGTAAGATTGTAAATTTGAAAAAATTTTAGTATGTAATTTTGAAGTATTTAGTCGCTAAACTATTTCATAAACATTTTTATAAAAAAAATCAGAGATAATCAAATTAATCAGACATATATTTGTTGATAAAATAACAAAATAGTTACATTCTTATTGTTAGGTATAAGCTATATTATAGAATCAAGTTTTTAGCTTAATGACTAAACCATTAGTCAAATAATTGCCATAACTTCTTTTTGTTAGGTTTCCTTTAGTGAAAATAATAAACTTATGATAATAAAACAATTTTTTTCAGAAATGAAAAAAGAAAAACAACTTAGGTCTATATTGCATTCTGAAACCTTAAAGTGAGTGATAACTAACAACTTTTAATGATTTACTTTACAGATCTAAGCGACTATTATAATTTTTAATTAAATTTTACATTTTTGTTTAATAATCCTTGAGATATTGGAATAGATTCAAAATATATTTTGTTATTTATTTATACCCACTCAAAGTATTCAAATGTTTTATACTCAAAAATATTCATAAGCTAAGCCTATCATCATTTTACATTGTTTTGTTAGGAAAATTAAAAATACCCAGCACAAGGGGGTCGCGGCACAGTTGTGACGTGGTATAGTTGGATCAAGTATAATGATATTTGACAGTGATTAAAATCACTATCAAAAATAAACGCTTATTAAGATGCAAATCTTTAGATAGTGTTTCATTTTAAAAAAATTGGTGTTTTATTCCAAAAGCTACTTGATCTGCTGGTTCCTTATTAATATCTCAATTAAGATAAAGTATGTCGAATGAAAAAGGATTTATTAAAAAATATTATTTCTCATAAAAAAATTGTGTGGATCCATAAACTTTTCAATAAGTTATAGCATTATAAAGTTAAATATAATATAAATAATAAAATCGAGAATTTTCACACGAAAATAGCATTCGGTAGCCATTTTCGCCGTGAAGACAAGTCCAGAGGTCAAATTTTTTTTTTTCAAATTAAAGTATATTACATTAGCTTTAATTTAAGATATATATAAAAGTGTCAGACCTTCCGGAACATTTTCAAAAGTTAAGTTGAAAAAGTTAATTTTTTGTGAAAAAGTTGTCATTTTAAATCCCCCCCTGTGGGCAGGTTAAGTGTCAAATTTACAAAAAAAATATACCAAATGATAAGTAATGACATGAAGCATCTATATAAAAAAAAATTATATTGATATGTTCATTTTTGAAAAAGTTAGAGCATTATTAAGTTAAAAATATAAAAAAAAATTATTTTACAAAAATCGTAATTTTTTATTAACTTTGATGTCAACTTTCACCACGAAGACAAGTCCAGAGGTCAAATTTTTTTTTTTCAAATTAAAGTGCATTACATTAGCTTTAATTTAAGATATATATAAAAGTGTCAGACCTTCCGGAACATTTTCAAAAGTTAAGTTGAAAAAGTTAATTTTTTGTGAAAAAATTGTCATTCTAAATTTCCCCCTGTGGGCAGGTTAAGTGTCAGATTTACAAAAAAAATATACCAAATGATAAGTAAAGACATCAA